CGTGGTGACCCTGGCCACATTATTAAATACTGTCCTAAGTATAGAGAAGCCCAGTGGGCTGCCCAAGAGTCAAAAGGCAGCCGCCGGTAGGGGTAGCAACTGCCCCTACCCCAGGGCCATGTGGAGATAAGTCAGCGAGTTGGCACGGATCTCCCAAACCACATGAGCCCATGGCAGAAGTTGCAGGCCAGTGCCTAGATAGCTGCCCAGAGACTGCATGCGTTAGAGTCTCTCTAGGCACTTCCCTCACAGGCGTGGGAGAAGAGTCAAAGGAGAGAATGCCCGCCTGGGCCAAGATGAAGAAAGAGAATAGGGGTATACTAGTAGATACAGAGATCTTTAGAGGCCGAGCTGGCGCCTTAGTGGATAGTGGAGCCACTCGCAGTTGTATTAGTAGGAGGGCGCTGCAAAAGCTGAAGTTGCAGTTAAAAGTCCAAAAATTGGCAGACCGTATAGTCAGTATCCTCGCAGACAACTGCACTATGCGAGTCGAGGATTACGTAGAGGGAGTCCAGGCTTACTTCCGCCTAGAGCAGAATGGGAAAGTGGAGAAGGTCCTCCACTCCCTGATTCTCCTCGTTGAAGATAACCTCCCGTTTGATATAGTCCTAGGAATGGACTGGGGAGAGGCAGCAGGGGCCACACTCCATTTGAGAGAGCACGAGCGTAGGCTCCCTAGTCCGTCAGGCGGAGTCAGATTGCCCGGCTGTTGCATGTGTCAGGAGTAGATGACTCCCTGGCACATTGCTGCCTTAGCGCTCCTGCATTTGCACGAATGGTTAGGAAGGAGCAGCTAGAGGAACAAGTTTTCGTGGCCTATGTCAGATCAATTACTGAGCCTACGGAAGAGAAACCCACATACCCCGCAATCGCCAAACCGCTGGAAAGGTACAAGGATTTAGTTTAGCTGCCGATAGGAGTAGTCCCGCGGCCGATCCAGCATCGCATTGAGATTGAGCCGGGCAGCAAGACTCCTAAGGGAGCTGTGTATAGGATGTCCCCGCGGGAATTGGAAGAGCTTCGCAAGCAGTTAGACGAGCTCTTAGAGAAGCGTTGGATTAGGCCCAGTTCGTCTCCATTTGGAGCACCTGTCCTATTCGTCCCCAAAAAGGAGGGAGAGTTGAGACTATGTATAGACTATAGGGGTCTCACTGCCATCATAGTGAAGAATACAGAGCCACTGCCCCGAATAGATGACCTATTAGATCGGGTGCAGGGGTGTAAGTATTTTTCGAAGATAGATTTAAAGTCCGGATATCATCAGATAGAAGTTCATCCTGATGATCAACACAAGACTGCTTTCCGGACTAGGTATGGGCATTATGAGTTTATAGTGATGCCCTTTGGACTAACCAATGCGCCTGCAACATTTCAGCGTTGCATGAACGGTCTCTTTAGGCCATGGTTAGATAGGTTTGTCGTAGTATACCTAGACGACATTTTAGTGTTCAGTAAGTCCCTCCAGGAGCATGAGGGCCATCTGAAGCAGGTCTTGGAAAAACTAGGAGAAGGTAACTTCAAGATCAATGCGAAGAAGTGCGAGTGGCAAAGACCCAAGTTTTGTACTTGGGCCATGTGTTAGACGGAGACGGCATAAAACCCGAAGATAGCAAAATCGCAGCGATTAGAGATTGGCCTACACCCCGCGTTGACAGAGTTGCGGTCGTTCCTAGGCCTAGCAAACTATTATAGGAAGTTCGTGAGGAACTTCTCCACAGTCGCTGCCCCCCTTCGCAGGCTGTTAAAGAAAGAAACAATCTGGAAGTGAGACAAGGACTGCACGTCTGCAATGAAGAAGCTGAAACAAGCATTGATAGAGTATCCAGTCCTAAAAGAAGCCGATCCATCTCTACCCTTTGTCGTTACCACAGACGCGAGTTAGTACGACATAGGTGCTGTCCTACAGCAAGACGATGGCAATGGTTATAGACCCGTAGAGTTCATGTCTGCTAGGATGCCTTCAGAGAAGGTAGCGACATCTACTTATGAGAGGGAACTCTATGCTCTCAGGCAAGCATTAAAGCACTGGAAGCACTACTTGCTTGGGAGGCACTTCAAAGTCTATTCAGACCACGAAACATTAAGGTGGCTGAAGACTCGGGCTAAGATGACACCTAAGCTTACCAGGTGGGCCGCCGAGATAGACCAATATGATTTTGAGCTCCAGCCAATAAAAGGGAAATATAATGTAGTTGAGGACGTTCTGAGTAGGAGAGCGGACTACTTTGGGGTGATAGTTCATTATCTAGATATAGGGGGAGACCTGCAGCAGAAAGTTAGAGAGGCCTATGCGCAGGACCCTATCTATGGTGACCTCCTCAGGAGAGTGAAGGAGGCCCCAGAGTCTGAACCGGACTACCGCACTACTGATGGACTGTTGTTCGAGAAGGCTAACGTATTTGATCGATCGTGCGTTCCCAACAGTGAAGAGATCCGTAGTTTGATCCTAGGGGAATGTCACGGTACAGAGGTACACTTTGGTTGGCAAAAGACTTTAGCCAACCTAATGCACGCGTACACTTGGCCCGGTACGAAGGCCGACTACATAGAGTACGATCGCAGTTGTAAGGTCTGTCAGAGGAACAAGACCACCACACGTGGCCCTCTGGGTCTTCTCAGACCCTTGCCTATTCCTGACCAGCCAGGAGATTCAGTATCCATTGACTTTATGGATACTGGCGTCAAGAGTAGGCACGGCAAGAGCCAAGTCATGGTCGTAATCGATAGATTTAGTAAGTATGCAGTCTTTATTCCTTTGCCTTCTGAGGCACGTACAGAGTTAGTGATTCAAATTTTTTTTATCATTGGGTCAGTGAGCACGGGGTCCCGTTGTCTATAGTTAGTGATAGAGACACCCAGTTCACCAGTCAGAACTGGCAGGAATTGATGAGAGTCAATGGCTCTAAGTTGTTAATGTCATCTGGCCGTCATCCAAAGACCAACGGTCAGACTGAACAGATGAACAAGATACTGCAGCAAGTTCTGAGGATGTACATTAGACCTGATCAAGTTAACTGGGATGAGATGCTCCCAAAGGTAGCCAGCGCCTATTATAACAGCGTACACCTATCTACCTGTCGCACTCCCAACGAGTTGCATAAGTCTTTCAAGCCGCGTAGCCCCTTTGAAGGACTTAACCGGGATCAGATTTATAGGCTACCGCCCGGTACAAGGGAGTTCGCGTTACAGCATGAGAAAGATTTGGCTACAGTAGTAGAGAACCTCAGGAAGGCCCAGCACCGAATGATAGAGCAAGCTAATAAACACCGTCGCCCATCACAGTTCCAAGTAGGCGACTTAGTCTGGGTCAAGTCTAAAGACTTTGCTCCTGAGGAGAACATCTCGCAAAAGTTACTGCCCCCGTATAGAAGACCGTGGCCAGTTCTAGAAGTCAAGGGCGGAGAGGATGGGCGGCCCTACACAGTAGAGATCCCAGCGCACCTCCACACCTACCCGGTCTTCCATGCATCCAAGTTGTTGCCCTGCACAATGAGTGATCAGTTCCCATCGAGGAGGGCCATGATCCCCCCGGATATGGATGGCAGGTACGACATTGACGGCATCGTAGGTGAAGATGTGTTCAGAACAGGAGGTAGAGGTCGTCCACAAAAACAATATAAGGTCCGATTTGCTCATCAGGAGCCAGAGGACAACCGCTGGTTTACGAGAACCGAGCTTCTAGAAACAGCTCCAGACATAGTTAGAGCCTATGAGAGAGATAAGAAAGGAAAAGGTCCTGCCTTGGACTGAGTTATTCTCGGAGGACCTCGAATTTAGGCCGGCGGGAGTGAAACGGTTTTCACCTGTCAGCAGTAGCGAGTGCAGATCCCAGGGCTCGATCCCTAGTTCTCACCTTACCTGTATCAGTATCTTTGTCGACCCCGAGTGTTTGAACCCGTGACCTGTGTTTGACAGTTGTTGTTGTCTGTCGTAGGTCGGTGTATGGGTAGGGGTTTGATCTGTAGACCTGTCGGATAGGAGTCCTAGTGAGTTCTCGAAGTCGTAGCTGTAGCCTGTCCGGAGGGTCAAGGTCGTAGCTGCTACAGTCCTGAAAGGTCAAGGTCGTAGCTGCTACAGTACCGAAAGGCCAAGTCTACAGACTTCTGGAAGTGGCCTTTCGGAGTAGGTCCACGTTTAGACAGAGGCAAGTGGGCAAGTGGTGGAGCCAACCTCAGTGCGTTGGCAGTGCGACTGCAACGAGGTTGCGGTCCAACCCCATGCAGTCAGCATTACGGTCCAGTCAGTCCCAGTCCAGTCCAGCAAGTACCATACGGGACTGTGTGCACAATGGGCCGAGGGAAAGGGGCCAGACCAGCGAGCTACAGAAGTATAAATCAGGAGGCAGCGCCCAGCCATTCATTCATTCCGGCGGAAGCCATGCGGAAGCGCCGCCATAGCGACTTGTGCGAGGTGGTCTGCAGTGAGCCCGAGGACGAAGAGGGCGAGAAGGAGTTAGCCATAGTGATAGGTTAGAAGCGGCCATAGCCGCCATAGCTGTAGGTGTGTATGAGTGTGTGCGCCAGGGTACAGAGTGTTGCGTGTGGGGTATCCAGGGTGATCCTGTATGCAAACAGCAGTGTCGAGGTAGTGACGAACAGAGAGTTGTTCAGGCGATGAGCAGCCATAGCCATGTGAAGTGAACTTGTATCTGAGTGTGTTCTTGGTACTATATCTCTGAGTTCTGAGAGGGCGCCTGGCGCCAGTTTGCTGAGCAACCTGTTTGCATACGTGTGAAGTGTGAATGAATGCGAGTGTGATTGCACTCATCGTTTGGGGCCACATCCTGAGTGGGGACTGTCCCTGGAATCGGGAGTGTACTCTGGGCATAAAAGAAGGCATGTGCTTGTTGTCAACTTTCTGCCTGCCCACTGACATGACGTTGTTAATCGATTTGAAGCTTGACTATCATCCTGGAGATTCAGATTTGTTGAAGGTATTGATGGATGTGAAACGACTGAGAAGCTGTGATGACTGAATTGTCGTGCAGTGGTTAAATCTGAAGCGGTGACAGATAAGGCGGAAATTCAAGTGCAGGCAAGATGGATAAAGTGTTTAAGGCCGACCACCTTGGGTTGGCTGGTAACCCAGTTATTCTCAAGCTACTTTCCAAGCAAGGTATATTTCTCATATTACTTGTAATTTGTGTATATAGTATATACATTGTAAGGAATCTCATGTACGGGACTTTTTCTTTGCCCTGGGAACCCAGTTATTCTCAGTCCTTGTTGTTTTTTCCTTTTCATTTATTTATGTTTGCTTTATTTGTTTTGTTTATGGAACTTGGACACTCTTGAGGTCGGCTGGGAATGCTGGTGAACTACCCGGGCATGGCTATCTTCAGTATGGTCTTCTCCCGAATTAAATGCCCGATCATTATAGATCTGTATTGGTTAGAGACATCGATAAGGACTGGGCGTTCTACTTGCATGAACATGGTACGCATGCCTTCTTATCCTGACAAGGTTTTACAGAAACCCTCCCTCTATGCTGGCTTTGAGTTAAAAGAAAAAAGGAAATGAAAAAGCTGGTGCAGAAGACAGTTTGGGATACTAAGGGCGAGCTCACACTACCACTCTTCTGAATGTATCTGACCGTAATTATGGCCGGACCTGCTTGTATCTGGCCGCATTTCCGTCCAGAAATAAGTAAAAAGGTCCTAGTGTGAGTATGCCCTAAAGGTAGAGGGGAGGGATGGTAAACCACCATTCCCTCCTTGGGACCAACCTCTGGGCCTGGGCCAGTTTTTTTGGATGGAAGGGGAAAAAAAAACTGTGGCTGTTGAATTGGCCATCCAACGGTCCCTCTGAGAAATTGGCGGTGCTGTGGCAACCAGGCTATTCGCAAAAACGTGGTGATGGGATGCACGGACCTCCCACATGGGCTATCACTAAGTGTGGGACGCACGGACCTCCCACATGGGCTATCACTAAGAGTGGGACACACAGACTTCCCACATGGCCCCGGGGGGCCCTCGGCCTGGCCTTGGCGGCCTACGCTCACTCGGCCATTGTTTTGGGAAGCCATAGTGCGGCGGATCGATTTCTGGTGAGCTCAGACAGCATGAGTTATTTTGTCCGTTCTGTTGTCTTTCTGAGTTCTGTTCTGCTTCTCAGATGTTTCGCCTGTTCGAGTTTTTTGTCTGTTCTGGGCTGGCTGCGTTCCGGATTCCTCATATCTGAACAGACTTGAGTCCCTCTCCAGACCAGTTGGTAGGGTTTAGGATACAGAAAGACCTCGTGCAATTCCAACACCCTTTACTCGCTCACACTTGAGTGGGAAACTTAAATTGGGAGCTCACCGAAAACCAAATCGGAATGGGAAATGATGCAGTAGACTGCCAGGACTGCCGGTCTATGACTGCAATCAATCACCCTGCCATATGTGCTAAAAATAACACCATGAGTTAGGCAAGCAAATTTCAGATTTCACGATTGGAAAATTTGTTACTGCTGACTTTCTGCTGCCCAGCCCAGGGCTACTGGTTCTGCCTCTTGGAAATTATTTCTCGATCTGCCGGTCTAGAAAGGCCTACTCTAAACTTAGTCGACAAAGATTATGCAAGGAGTTCCAGGTTCAAAACTCACAAGCTCCAACACAGTACAACAACATAAGAGCTAACAGCTATACTTACCTTGAAGCTGAGTGAGGATGCCACCCGGCTGGGCCTGCCCTGCCGGGCTGGGCCCAGCCGATTGGGCCCGGAGGGGGCCGCCCGGGTA